CTCATTTGGGAGGAGAGAAATTTTCATCAGAATAACCAAATTTGATCTACCTCGTGAATAATCCTATTTGGCAACAGTGGCACTAATGATAAGGTGAATTGTTCTAGGTTCCACTTGAATACAACCCATTCACTCGTTATTTAGTTTCTTTATAAATCAGAATAGGGTAACATCAAATAACACAGATATGTGGGGGGAGGGACGTTGACACTTTAAATAACTAGTTCAGTTATCTCAGAAGGTTGCACCAAAAATGCAAAACAATTTAAAATGGCATTTCTACCACAAACAAAACATGTTACCAGGCTTCCATGCACCTGAAGTTGTACAGTGCCGCTTCTTCAAAGATTTAACATAATTATTATGCAGGGAAAACTTTTTTTTCCCCTGAGTGCCAGAGGAAAGTTTCCAGACTGCACTATGAAATATTTAAGTCTATTTTTGGTGCAGTAAAAGTACTGTGACATTTCCAGAACTGCTCTGTTTTGAGATGTGGGAAAATCTTTGTGTTTAAACTACATTTATGAGTAGCATGAAACAAAGAACCATAACAAGCATTAAGTGGTGAGGCCATTGCTACCGGAAGGATACAGGTTATTGAATTACTTCACTCAAGAGTAGGCAAATCCAGGAGGGGTGGGAGATCAGACTGCCAAAAAGGGATTGACATAAACCTTCCGTATTCAACAGCCAAAGTCTGCATACTGATTTTATTTAATCTGAAGGAGCAATGTATTTTCTCCATCTCCATTAACTCAAAGAGAATAATACTCAATTTAAAAAGCAGAGAATGTGAATACAATGGCTTAACTGTTTTAATAGGAAGGGGAGCTCAATTCTTGTTACACGGTAGAAATACAATGAAAACATCCTGTGTTTGTCTAGTGCCTAATAGTGTATAGTTTACAATTCTTTTCATCCAGACGTTTCATTGAAGAATGTTGCTTAACTTAGTAATCCTTAAAACACTTCTGGGGGATAGGCAGATCTAGTGGGGTAGCCTGGTCTAAGTATGACCACTTTTGTTTAACACACGAAGAAATGCAAGGATGGGAAGTTGAGTGATATACGCAAACATCTCAACAAAAGCTCCTAAATCACAGCTCTGCTCATTTTACATGACCTTTCAGGAAGAGGGAATTATTATCCCTACAGAGGTAGCCTTGATGTGGTAGAAAAATTCATTGGATTTGGGATCAGGAACTTTGGGTCACCAGCTCCCCTACTTTCTTGCTGTATTCACAGTATTTGAGTAAGTCACTTAACATTTGCATTCTTCAGATTTCTCACCTGTGAAAACAGGAATTAGATAAACCTGTACTACTATCTCAAAGGATTGTGGTGAGGAATAACTGATATAATGTATATAAAGTTCTTTGTAAACCAATGTGCCGTATTTATGTTAGTGTTTACTATGGAAGAGTCAGATACAGTACAACTTTAAATATAAAATCCAGCAGTGGTTACATAGTTTTAAATGTAATATTAAAAACAAAATTATGTTCCTTAATATCAAATTTCTTAAGAATCCCCTTCCTTTCCTTCTTTTAAAAATTGTACATTAAAGAAAAATAAAGATCACCAAAGTTGACATTACCAGCACAAACTAAACAGTTCTGAAAGAGAAAGGATATTCTTGTTTTAAGGTACAGAGATTTAGTCATTAGGCTATTAGAAGTCCTTAAAACCATCTGATAAAATTTTACCCAAGCTAAGATATGATAGAGTAAAAATATGATCCCTGAATAGGAAATCCCTTTGGTTATCACTCAGCCACTAAAAATGTAAAGGCGAGAAGTAGATCTTTAAGAAAAATCATATTTATATCAATAATACTAAAATTGCTTCTAAGAACATTTTTTCTTTTTTTATTCTGAATTTAACAAATGTCAAATAAAGTAGCTATTTCCAAGTACATAGAACAGAAAATATTGTACATGAAACTGCAGATTTCTGTCAAATAATATTTAAAATAATTGGCATTCATAATGAGAAATTTTAGGAAAGGTTGTTCATTCATTTATTAACAAATTGTTATACAAACAAATCAGGTTAATATGTTAAATGCAGAAGAGTAAGAAGGTTAAAAAAAAAGATGGATCTCTTGTTAATTTCCAAAAGGAGCTGAATGCTCACTTACTGATTAGGAATTTTGTAGAGGGGATTCCTTCACCTGCTAGAGGGTGGGATTAGACCTCTCAGGTCCTCTCTGGGACTTCTAGGGCTTCTGATGATTAGGGAGAGAAGGCAAAAAAAGCATGAATAAAGCCACACAGAACTACATCCACCATCTAGTGATACCAGCAGGCAGAACTACAGAAACAGAAAGAGGCTAATTGTTGGTAGGGAAGCTGGTACTGCTCTAATTCACTTATTTTATGTAGGTGGACACTTAGCAGCCAGACAGAAACAATTCTCCCCTACTTGATTAAAGTTCTGTCCTTCTGGTAGACTTAAAGGAAGTTATTTTAGGGCAATTACTATGTATTTCCTATATGTACACAGGAAATTCTTATTAATCATAATGGTCTGGGATAATTCATCCATTTCTGTGAGTTGTGTATGATTCCCTTCCAGTCTGGGGATAAGCATTAATATTGCATATGAACTTAAAGGAAAAATACTTTTTGTAAGTAGTCCTTTGGACTATGTTGATCTGTGGGTAAGAGGGAGAAACTGGAGAATTGGCAGCAAAAGCTAATCAGAACACAAATAGATGTGATGAAATAGACTGCAGATTGTTAGGGTCCTATGACCACTAACTGCAAGGATCCTGAGAGTTGTTGATTGTTGGGGTCCTATGATCACTAACTGCAAGGATCCTGAAAGTCTAACATAGGCACCCTTGAGAGAATAAAGGTGTTATGCTGTTCAGGATGCAACCATCCTTGGCTTTGGGACACAGAGTCATGATTGCCCATTGCTTTGTCATATCTTGTAATCACCACTTAGCTTACCAATGCTATAGCCTGATGCATAATATTTACCTCAAGGACACACAAACAGGGAAAGCCATCTAATTAGGAAATTCCCTAGACTTATGCCACTCTCTTACAACAAGATCATTTGTATAAAATTAAAAATTGATTGTAATTCTATTTTGCTAAGGCTTAATCAAGCTAGATTTAATATTCCCTTTGTCAATTCCTTCCCCTTATAAACTTCACCCACCACCCCCCTTGTGAAGAAACTTTCCTAAAGGTCAAGCTTTTGTCTTATAATTACCTCTATCTTTGTAACCTCACCCATCAGCCACTTTATAAACTGACCTTTATAAAAGGTCAAACCGCATCAATTTAAACTAGCAACTCCTCTCTCCTGGGAATTTTTGTGTTGTGGCTGGAATCACGTGTCTTATCGTGGTTAAGGGGGTTTCACAAGGGGAGATCCAAATGATGTAATCTCAGTACTTAATATGTCATCAATAGCCAATCAGAACAAGACATACCTATATTGCTTGAGATTTTGCTCTGTCACTTGGCTAATTGTTATAAAAGACCTTGTCAACACTCACTCAATGTTTCTGGTCATTGAGAAAGGCCACTGACACACTTTATTGGTTACTGACAGCCTTATACATTGATCACGCTCAGAACTTTGTCTCTCAATTTACTTTAGTTTTCAAACATAACATTTTTTTCCTTTTTTTATTAATTTATTTTGATTTATCAACAATCACTTCCACATGCTTTTGAGTTGAAAATTTTTCTCCCCCTTCCTCCCCCCCACCCTCCCCAAGACAGCGCACAATCTGATATAGGCTTTACATTTACATACCCATTAAACATATTTTCACATTAGTGAAGTTGTAAGTAAAAATTAAAACCAATAGGAGGAACCATCAGAAAGATGAAACAAAACTCAACAGAAGGTAAAAATAAGTGATAGCGATTTGACTTCCATAGTTCTTTCTTTGGATGTGGACAGCATTTTCCATCCCAAGGCCTCTGGAGAGGTCTTAGATCCCTGTAATGCTGAGAAGGGTTCAGTTTAACAATCTTAGTCATTGTATAATATGGCTGTTATTATGTACAAAGTCCTCTTGGTTCTGCTCACTTCACTCAGCATCAGACCATATAAGTCTTCCCAGGTTTTTCTGAAGTCAGCCTGTTCATCATTTCTTATAGCACAATAGTATTCCATTACATTCATATACCACAACTTGCTCAGCCATTCCCCAATTGATGAGCATCCTCTCAATTTCCAATTCTTTGCCACCACAAAAAGAGCTGCTGTGAATATTTTTGTACATGTGGGTCCTTTTCCCATTTGTTTGATGTCTTTGGGATATAGCCCTAGAAGTGCTATTGCTGGATCAAAGGGTATGCACATTTTTGTAGCCCTTTGGGCATAGTTCCAAATTGTTCTCCAAAATGGTTGGATCATTTCACAACTCCACCAACAATGTATTAGTGTTCCAATTTTCCCACATCTTCTCCAACATTTATCATTTTCCTGTTTTGTCATGTTGGCCAATCTGATACGTGTGATGTGGTACCTCAGAGTTCAAACATAAAACATTTGACTGCTTTAATTTGACTCTGCTTTCCCTCCTATAAACATGTTCAACTCCACAAGCAGTCTCAGGGTCAGTTTAGCGAAAACCAGTCCAGAGGTCTTGGCCATTTATGCTTTTTTAAAAGCTGTCTAGGGGCAGCAGAAAAGAAAAAGAGATCCTGATGCACTTGTTAGTATCGTAGGCAGCAACAACTCTCTCCTTTTTCAAAAGAGATAATATTTGTATCAAATGAGAAGTTCATACTTAGCACAGTGCCTGACACATTACTGTTGCTGTTGTTTAATGATTTCAGTTGTGTCCAACTCTTTGTGACCCCATTGGGGGTTTTCTTGGCAAAGATACTGTAGTGGTTTGTTTTTTCCTTTTCCAGCTCATTTTACAGATGAAGAAACTGAGGCAAACACGGTTAAGTGACTTGGCCAGGGTCACATGGCTAGTAAATGTCTAAAGCCAAATTTGAACTTGGGTCTTCTTGACTCCACGGCCTCGTGCTCTGTTCACCGTGCCACCTAGCTGCCCAAAAACAACAACAACAGCATTTGATACAAACATCTCATTAGAAAAAAGAGAGTAGTTGCTGCCTATAGGCACATAATAAAAGCTTAACAAATGTTTATTCCCTCCCCCATTCCCACCCCTTGTTCTTATAGCTGAACTGCCCTGAGTAGGATAAAATAGACTCCACAAATGAGTAATTTTTCACAGTATGGTACTTACACATAATTGACATTTAAAACAATTTTTTTGAGTTATAGTTTATTGAATGACATGTTTCCCAGGCTTTCTGAAATCAGTAGCCAAGGAAGTAAGGGATTTTTCACATAAAAGGAACCCTGAGTAAGTTAGAACCTTTCCAGGCCTCAGTTTCTTCATCTGTGATATGAGCTTAGACTAGATGATCTCTAATCTAAGACCCTGTCTAGCTTTTAATTCTATAAACCTTCCAACTCAGAGATTCTCTAGTTTTGTGAGTATACACGTCTGGCCCTATATTTACTGTTGTATAGGATATAAAAGAAATAAAAGGCATCATGATTTCTGTCCTTAGTGATAATACAGTTTTGCTGCAGAAACAAGACACACATAAACTGGAGAATAAGCTGGTATGATTAAAAAGTGCCAAATTGTATGTTTAATAGGAATTCAGATTCCTTTAAGATTTTTAAAAAATTTAGTAGCCAAATAAAAAAGTATTATTGTGCCCATAAAGGTAATCTTTAAGGGGAACAACATGTTTTCCTCATAGCATCCCTATGTGGTAAAGATGTTTCCCCCATTAGATTATAAGCCTCTGGAGTATAGGGACTGTCTTTCTTTTTATATCTCCTCAACTGTTTACCACATACAGTGTCTGACAGGTTACAGGCACTTAGTAAATTTTTATTTGATCGCATTAGATAAGTAGTGCAAATACCATAATCCAACTTTTATAGACTAAGAAAAAGGTTCAGAGAAGTTAAATAAATTGCCCATGGTAACACAGCTGGCTACATGTTACAGTCTACAACAGGCTGATCAAACAAATTCTAGACACGGCTAAGGAAAACCAATGGGGAAGAGGAGAATCTTCCATATGACTATCATTAGTAAGTAAAAAATAATACTGTTTATATGTCACTCAACTTAAGAAGTTCAAGTTAAATTAATTCTTGATTATTTATAATCTAGTTTATGCTTTTTGTTATTTCCTCTTCCTTTCCATTACTTGACTTTGGGCCAGCCTACTCAAAACAAAAATCTAGTATTATCTGAGATTTAATTAGTCTATCATCTATTAATCCCTGTCCCCAATGATCATGAAGCAGGCAGCACCTTTAGGCAAAATAAGCTCTTGCCTGTGTGGTATAAAATCCGCTGAGCCCCCCAACATGTCTCCTGCTGATGTACTGCATATAGAATAGTCCTTCCTTCCTGCCTGGCCTTAATTTCCCAAAGTTAGAGTGACCACTTTAAAACTGGGCTTGGTGATTTTAATGAATGAATGATTGAAAAAGCATTTATTAAGCACTTACTATGTGTCATACCCTGTGGCAAACACACAGGCAGAAAGAAGGACAAGGAAACAAGGCAGTCACTGACCTCAGACAACTTAAATTCTAATGTGGAAGAAAACATATAAAGGGCATTAGAAAAGGGCCAGGCATAGTGTGGCAGCATTATTTGAAAATGGCTCTAAATAATTAAGGCAACGAAAGTTTCTTAGTTGGGGGCTAACTCTATATAAGGATTCTAAATTTTCAATCAATTTGTATATAAGAACACTGAGACTAAGGTAGGTTGCAGTTATTTTAGTTGACTACTAAATCTTTTTATTCTTTCTTGTACTTTTACATAGATTTTGACGTCTGCATTAATCCACAGTTGATCCAAGAGTACACAGATGGCCTGATTCAGAAATAATTTCCACATCAGGAACTGGTCATTTTCTGTCTGTTGAACTACAACAACGACAATATAATTTCAATTTTTGTGATGTTACTGAGTGCCTTTGTTTTCATATCACCCTTATTTTCCCAATATATCCCTTCTTTCTCTCCTTTTTCAAAAAGCCATCTTTTACAACAAAGAATATTTTTAAAGGGAAAAAGAAATTCATCAAAATTAACCACAGCAGGACTAGATTATTTCTAATGTTCTTTCACCTCAAATATCCAAAGACTGGTTTTTTTTTTAAATTTCTCTCAGAAACCACAGGTAGGGTTGTTATCAAATTATTTTTATTTAGTTTAGGTTACTTGCTCAGATAAGGGCAGCTAGATGATGCAGTGGGCTAGAGTACTGGGCCTGAAGTCAGGAAGACCTGAATTAAAATCCAGCTTCAGACACTTACTACCTGGGTGACCCTCAAACACTTATTAGCTGTATGATCCTGGGCAAGTCACTGCACCCTGTTTGCCTCAGTTTCCTCATCAGTAAAATAAGCTGGAGAAAGAAATGGCAAACCACTCCAGCATCTCTACCAAGAAAACCTCAAATGGGGTCACAAAGAGTCAGAACAGAAATGACTGAACAACAACAAATTGCTTAGAAACAAATTGCTTTCAAATGTGCCAGGGGGCACATTAGAAAGCAGACAACAGGACTTTGGAGCCAATGTGAAACAAGAAAGGGGAGGCAGAAAAAGGAGGGCTTCTTGGAAGAAGCCATACATAGGGAAAATTTGGCTGTACTGTAAGCACCGAAATGTTACCAATGGAAGTCTAAGAGGCATGGGTTATAATGGAAAGAGTACAGGTTCTGGAGCCAGAGACCTGGGTTTGAATCATCTTTCAGATATTTACTATCTCAGTATAGTACCCTTTCGTTTCTATATGAAAGGACTGGACTAAATGATGTCTAACGTCCTTTCCAACTCTAAAACTTCATATGAAGCCAGAGGGAAACTTGCCTTGTTGGGAAGAAAGAAGTTTCATGAAAACCCAGAGGACAGAGGATCCGGGAGGAAAAAGCAGTCACTAATGTCACATACTGCTGAGAGATCTAGAAAAATAAGGACTGAAAAATAGGTTATCAGATTTGGAAATTAAGAGGTCATTTGGGTCTTTGAAGTGAGCAGTTTTAGTTGAGTGTTGAGGGCAGAAATCAGACAGCAAAGGGTTGAAAAGTGAAAGGGGAGGAAATGGAAGTGAGAGGAAAGAGAACATTTTCTAGGAATTTGCCTGGGAGGAGAGGTATAGGACAATTGTTAGGGGGATGAGGTCAAATGAAAGGGTTTTTTTTAAGGATGAGGAAGTACATTTGTAGATAGCAGGAAAGGAACCAGTAAATAAGGAGAGATTCAAGATTCCATAGAGAGAGAAGATTATAGAAGCACTGTTGAGCAAACAATAAGGGAATCAAGGGTATATGTATATCTCCATTTAAGATGGAGAATTGAATAGGAGCAGAAAAGCTCTATTCTAACATACAGACTCCAGAAAAGATAAAATGAAAAAGTACCAGATTGAAAAATGATTAAGAAATTAAAAGAGAAATTTAGGAAATTGTCTTCATCCAGCCTAGGTTTGTAAAAGGGGGTATCCAGAAGCCTGCAAACAATAAGGAGTTGGCTCAGCCTAAGAAATCAGAGTGAAGCGAATGCAGAGCTCAGAGGTCCTCTAGCTCTGACAGCCTCAGAGCACTCTAGCCAGTGAGCTATGCTAGTCAAGTAGGTATTAGTCATGGGGAAAAGAAGACCAAAGCACTTTTGCCAGTTTCCCCAACGTGGTTAAGCATCTACATAGTTCCTCCTAAGATGGCAGCAATCAATCTACACCCCCTAGGGACTCTGAAACTTTACAGCAAGCTTACACGAGCCAGCCTTGATGCTCTTGAAGAGGCTAGTGCTCTGTTCTTAGATACAGGCGGTGTCCTTGCCAGTCTACTGTACACAGTGGACATTACTAAAAGGAAGTGCCAGAAACAGGATCCCAGACAATAGAAATCAGGAGAAAGAGGAAGGGAATAAACCAGGCACTGTGTTAAGCTCTTTATAGGTTTTATCACATTTGATCCTCACAACAACCCTGGGGAGGTAGGTGCTATTATTAGTCCCATTTTATAATTAAGGAAACTGAAGCAAATAGGTTAACAATTTATCTAAGGTCACACAGCTAGTAAGAATCTGATTTGAGCTCGTCTTCCCGATTCCAGGGCCAGTGTTCTATCCACTGTGCCACCAACTGCCAGGACCAAATAGGGGCCTACCATCCCAACAATCACTTTCTAATGTTGAGCACACCCTTTATTACTACCTTCTTTTTGTAAAAAAAAAAAAACAGTGTCAAGAGGTAAGTAGAGGAAATTATGAGGACATAGAGGAAATATCTATAATTAATAATCAAAATCATCAATATGCACCTTTAAAAGAGAAAAGATTAGAAGAATGAATTAGGGAGCAGAGTTCAATAATACGTTATTTGCAGGAAACATTTAAAACATCAAAATTCACACAGTTAAAATAAGGGGCTGGAGTAACCTATTATACTTCAAGTGGACTAAAAAACCAGGAGAACTAATCATGATCTTGAATAAAACAATGGTAAAATAGAAATGATTTTTTAAAAAGAAACAGGAAAACATTATGCTTAAATTAGGGATTAAATATATGAACATGATATAATATGAATCATAATATCTAAATACTTAAAAGAAAACAAATTTACAGGGAAAAATAGACATTAAAACTAGAACATTTGGGGATTTCAATGTATCTCTTTCACACTTTGACAAATATAACCACGAAAAAACATGAGACAAATTAAGGAAATAAATAGCATTTTTTAAAAGTTAGATATAATTGATCCCTGGTGAATAAAGAATGAGAATAATAAAGAATACACATATTTATAAGCTATACAAGGCACCTTTATAAAATCAAATATTTATTTAGATATAAAAACATCACAAAGAAATGCAAAAAGAAGAAATATTGAATAAATGCTTTACTGATCAAAATACAATGAAGTTATTATCAAGAAAAGGCATTTGAAGAAAGGATTAAAATTAATTTGAGATTGAATAATTTAATCATA